GAGCTGGCCAGCCTGGTGGCCAGGGGCCGTGTTGGGCACTGTCCCAGCCTCACCCTTCCTGCTCGGTGCAGGGATGCTTTGTTTGCTTTTCGTGCCTGTGCGATCTGAATCACCCTTTTGGCTTTTTCCCTTGGGATCCACCTAAAGAGAAATGTCCCATGGCCACCTCCACAGCATGGGAGTCAGTATCCTGAAATGTCTGAGTTGATACCACTGACAGTGGGATGCTCTGTGTCTGGAGCTCCCTTTTCTGGTTTGGCTGGTGCTGCTCTGGTAGCTCCATCAGCTCTCCATTGCCTGGGACCACCCAGGAGTAGACACCCTACCCCAGCCTTCTGGAGTGCTCCAGCACCTCATCGCAGAGCTGGCTTGAGTCTGGCATTGCCCTGGGGCCAGCAACGGAACGGCACCCACCAGAGGCAGTAGGAGCCCCTGGGGTGTTCCCACGAGGAGCAGTGCAGCCCAGGAACCCCCCAAACCCCAGGAGAGCTCAGGCAGAGGGCAGCAGTGTTGCACAGCTGTCCCCATAGCCTAATTCCCAAGGGCCCAGCACTAGGGAACACACACGGAGCTTGCAAGCATTTTCTAGCAAGCTTTGCCTTCTCCCACCCCACCCCTGAGCCACCTCGGGACATCAAGTGAACCTTTCCCTTCCTGTGGGCTGAAGCACGGGCGCAGCGGGGCGGTAGGGCTGCAGGAAAGCAGACATGCATCTCTCCATCCCGATGCAGTGCCCAGCAGGCTCCAGCGCTGCCTGCCATCCGTGGAAAAAGAGAAGGCAGCACCCAGGCTGAGGAAACACCGTTGCCCACCCTGCTCAGGCAGCCCACCCATGTCCCGGTGGCGGCCGCCTGGGAAGAGGCGAGAAGGTGGCTGACAGCAAGAGGGGACCGTGCCCAGATCTGCTCCACGAGACACAAGGAAGGTTCGGCAGCGGCGCTCCAGTTAGTCACCGCCGGGAAGCGTGCCATGCCGGAGGCTGCTGGCAGGCCGGCGGTGGTTTTGGCCACCTGGTGTGCGTGGCCTTATTTTGATGATGATTTCAACATTTCTCCAAGGAGGGGTGCAGCCAGGCAGTGGGAGATGGTGGGAAGCACAGAGGAAGGAACAGGAAGAAACTGTGGGGGCTTGTTAGTGACAGTCCCCAGGGTCCCCTGGCCGTGGGGCCAGGCTGTCCTCATAAGGACCAGGCTCCATGTGGGGCTGTGCAACTTGGGAGGCAGCTGCTGCAGGTGCTAAAACTGGGTGCCTGTCACCTGCTCGGGGTGCAACCGTCAAGGTGACATGTATCCAGGAGGTTTGGACCAAAGGTCCCAAAGCTGGCAGACACATGGGCTCCACCAGCCCCTTGCCTGGCAAGGGGAGAACCCCGCAGGTCTCACCCATTGCTGCCCAAACAGTGGCTGGAGGGAGGCAGGGGAGGACATGGGAGCGGGGACGCAGCAGATGCATTTCGTCACCCGGCCAAGGGGCATGTGTGTGTGTTGGGGGAAGGGGTGGCTGGGCGTGTGGGCGCATTTATTGCCTCTTCCCGCCAGCGCCGGCTCCCTGTGCACACACGGGCGGCAGGGACCCAAGGGCACAGCCCACGGCTCGCTGGACTTTTACCCTGCTGTGCAAACAGGCAGGCGCCAGATTAGGGCATCAGTTGGAATTTCATCCTGTCAACGGCACCCGCAGCCTCTCCGGGCGAGTGGCGGAGCATCTTCCATCCAGCCCAGCCCCTTGCCCACCCACAGGCACCCCAAGGCAGCAGGTGAATTTGGGAGATACACGTTTCATCCCCACCCAGGACTCTGCCCCTTCAAGCTTCCCTGTTGAGCAAGACCTTGCAGGCGATGGTGATGCCCAGGGCTAGGCTGCCACCACCCCATCCCCTGCCAGGGCAGGATCCCACCAGCCAGCCCCCACGTGGCAATGACAAAATTTGATGTCAAAGGCAGGTGAAGCCCAGCGAGGAAGGAGCATGTGTGCAGAGGAGTCAGCCCCAGGCATGGGGACTGTGCTGGAGTCTCTGCATAGAATGGACCCCAGTTTCCCCAGTCTGGCCCAGCTCTTTGAGCAGGTGGCCCATGCAGTCCCAACCCTTTTCCCATACGACACCAGCTCCATTTCCTTTGCCTCTTCCAGCCTGTTTTAGCTCGTGATGCCCCACATCCCCTTGCAGGGGTGCAGGGAGGCAGTGGTCCCATGCCATGGGCACCCCAGGCACTGTGCCCGTGAGCATAGGGTCACCAGGGTGCAGCAGTAGGTGCAGCTCCTGTTGCAAGGTCAGGAAAAAACCCTTTTCTCTGCTCCGCTCTCTCTGCAATGCCACCTCATCCTACCCCTGCTCCTCCATCTCCTCCACCCATGAGGACTTTATCCTGCATCAGGTGTCCTTCCTCAGCCACCTACTCTGCCTGGGCACCTCGGCACACATGTTCCCACCCCTTCCCAGGCAACATTTGGCACATTTTGGGGCTGGAGGAGCCATTTTGGGCAGGGATTCAAGGGAGGCCCCTTGCTCAGTGCCCTGCAAGACTAGGGGCACGTGGCTGGGATGGAGAGAAGAGAGTGTCAGGCACCGATGCCAGCTGTCCCAGGCACTATCTCACATCCTCGTTCTCTGTTTGCTCTTCTTGGACAAGGAGGATATTCAGCCCGTCAACAGCCATAAAACAAGATTAGAGGCCAGGAGGCACCAATGGGAGGTGGCCACGTCCGTGGGCAGCTGGCCTTGTTCTTTGGCCTCTGCCAGCCCAAGCCTGGCCTCACCCTTTCCCCAGCTGCCTTCGGGGCTACAAGTTTGCAGCCGCTGGGCCGCCTGGCACGGCCGGCCCTCTTGGTGGCAAAGGGATGGGATGCGGCTGTGCCATGCCACGGCGTGGGCCATGCCACCACCAGCAGTGCCCTTGTGGGACAGGCACCCCGCAGGCTACAGGGGCAAGGCTGCTGCGTCAAGACATCCATCTGCACCATTTTTGGTGGGGCTGGGCAGGGCACCTTGCTCCCGACCCCGGGTGCGCTCGGGGACATTGGTAGCAGTGCAGCCCCGGAGCTGGCATCACTCCGTTGCTGCAGAACTGTGGGCTGGGAGAAGACAGCAACAAACCTGTGGGGCGCGGGATTCCTGCTTGCTTTTATTTTCACCGATGCCTAAAAAATAAAAAGGAAAACCAGTTCTGCCTTATATACACAAAAACTGAGCCAAAGTCCTGAGCCAATGCAAACATTCGCCCTTGCCACCGAGCACAGCTGATGGTGGTGGCCAAGGGAAGGGTCAGCAGCCCCTGCAGGAGGCAGACCCAAACTCTACGAGAGCTGGAGTGGGGTGGTGGGCACAGTAGGATGCCAGGGACTCGCTTGTAAAAGCCGCAGTGTGTTCTGGGCTGTGAGAGGCTGGGAGCTGTGCAAGCCTGGAGGCGGAGAGGGTGGCCGAGGGATGCGGTGCACAAGCGGTGTTGGGTGTGATGCGAGGGCTCAGCCAGGTGCTCTGCAGGCAGCAGGGGACATGTCTGCTGCTCCACGTTTCTGGAGGTCAGAGAAATGGTGCTGGGAAAGGTCATGTGAGCTGCCACGTGAGGCCCATGCACCCTCATCCCTGTCTTGATCTCAGGAAGCCACAGCCCAGGAGCACCCGGCGTGGCCCTGAGCAGGAGCTGCAGACCCTCTTGTGTCCCAGCCGTGTCCCGCTGGCCTTTGGGGCATCGGAAACCCAGGCTAATACAAGGGTCAGGACACATCAGGGTGAAGGGGCACTTCAGCTGCAGTTCACCAGCAGGAAAAGAGGGGTATCAGTTACTGGCCTAGGGCACAAAATGGGCGAGAAATGGTGCAGGGCATGGAGGAGAAGGGAGATGGAGAGCAAAACCTGGAGTCCTTTGGGTTTTGAATAAAGTAGGAAAACCCCACTTTTCTGTCTTTCTGGAAACCACATCTCCATCACCTAACACTAGGGCACGTGCCAGCCATTCCTCTGCCCAAGACGGCCCCTGTCCACCCTGGCAGCATTTCCCGGTGCCTGACAGTTGTGCTCCCTTGGAGCAGAACCATAAAGCTCTCCCGGTATTGGCCCTTCTGGACGGACTGCAGCTGGTTCTTGCACCCCATCCAGACAGCAAAACTTCTTGTTCTCCTCCCCTTCCCCACAGGAAGGTGGTCTCAGGGCTCAGCAGGGTGTTCTGCCTCCTGTGTGTCTGTGCCTGGCTCCTCTGTCTCCTCTCACTGTGCTCCAGGCGGAGGATGGCTGCAGTGCTGCCTTGCCATGGCACAGCTGGGGACACCGGAGCTGCTGACATGTCTCCATGTGACTCCTTGTGGCTGCAGTGGGAGACCTGGGGGTGCAGGAGCTGGCGCTGCAGGGGTGGCTGGGGGACATGGGTGGGAATGTGCAGGGACTCTCACCAAGGATATCCTCTGGCTTGCCACCATCACCATGATTTGGAGGAGTCCCCCCTTGGGTCCTGAGGCCAAGGGTTCTGTCTGGCTCCCACAGTCCAACCCACTCTGCCTTCAGCACCCCCGTTCCCAGCATGGCAGATCCAGGGGACCAGCTCAGCAGAAATTTGTTTTGCCTTGAGTCCAGCCAGATCTTTTTTCTAGTTCAGTCTTATTTGAACTGCCCCAAAAGCACCAGGCAGCTACTTCACCAGGAGGACCGAAGGAAGCGTCCTACCAGCTCCACCTGAAGCACCATAGGAAAGCCATCCTCCACCCCCCTGCTTCCTTCTGCTGACATTAGGACCTTGCTTTGGACTACAAATACTAAAGACCAGACCTGTGCATGTTTCCTACAGGAGAGCAATACTACCTAACCCATGTTTTTTACATAGGAGAGAGCCCACCAAGCCCTTGGGAAGGTCCTGGTGCCACCTCACCCAGCCTCGCTGGCTGCCCCATTGGTTCAGCCAGGGACCATCGTGTCTTTGGGAAGGGGCTGTCACTCTTCAGAGCACACGGACCGGCTGGGCTCTGCTGCATAGTGCTTATCTCTTGGTGTCTATAGCTGGTGAAGGGGGTTAAGGCATGAATTCCTCCTTGATCGTAAGTGGAGATGAGGAGACAAGGTTCGAGGCACTGTTGCTGCAGAGGCCTCCAATAGGTCCCAGCGTGCCGACAGCCGGTGGGGTTGGCGTGGTGGTGCTGGTGGGCTGGCTTTGCTGCTGCATCTTCTTTTTGTTCACTTTCCTCTCCTTTGCCCTCCGATTTTGAAACCAGATTTTCACCTGCAGAAAGACAAAGGTGGCAATGCGGAGATGGGGACGGATGCAGCCAAGGGTGACCTCAGGGTTCCCCTGGGGCAGGCAGGACACCCCAGAGTTTGGAAGAGAAGGGAGATCTGTGGAGCAAGGTGGAACCACCTCTGCCTGCTTGGGCTGCAGCCCATCCCCTCCCCAGCCCCATCTCCACCCGGGATGTGGTTTCACTGACCTGCCGTTCAGTGAGCCCGAGGGCAGCGGCCAGCTCGGTCTTGCGGCGGATGGTGATGTAGCGGCTGTAGTGAAACTCCTTCTCCAGTTCCAGGCGCTGGTGGTCTGTGTACACCACCCGGTACTTGTCTTTCGTCCTGGTCTTGCCTGGCAAAGAGAGCAGTGCAGGGGTGAGCCAAAAGGGGATGAAGTGGGAGAGTGGAGGGGTAGGCGCATCCCCGAGGGCATGGAGGAGATACACAGCCACCTGTGGAGAGCTCAGGAGAAACATGGCAGTGCCCTGGGGACCAGTGGGAAAGAGAGTTGTGAGGCTCCTACTGGATTTAATGCCCATCCTGGGTAGCACCAGGGTGTTTCTCTGTGTTGGAAAGTAGCTGGGTGTTGGGGAAACTGAGTGGTGGAAAGAGCAGGAGGGATCCAGAGGCATTCCAAGAAGATGAACCATAAATCCCATATGCCATGACACACCGTCCCTGAGAGGAGCAGAACTGCAAGGCCTGTGGTGGGCTAAGGACAAGCTGCTGAGGGAAGCCCACCTCTTTGCCAGGGAGCCCGAACCCAGGGTGTCGTCACTTGAAGGCACATCGGTCAGGACAGGGGAAAGATGGAAAACCCAGGGATGACAGCATTTCTCTGGCACCAAGAGGGTTATTTTCCTTCTCCCTGTACCAAACTAAGACAGAGGGCAGTGCTTATTCATTGGGTACAGTCTTTAAAGATGCACTGGAGAAAGCCAACATGATGCCCAAGCACTCCTGGGGACTGGCTCCACAGGCCAGCAGTGTTTGGCCAAAGCTAGCCCAAATCTTACCTTAGCCCCCCCCCGATAAGGATAGAGCTGGGGGCCATCGAGCCCCACATCTCTGTGTACACTGATGCACATCCCACAGGACTGCAAATGGCACCTGCTGCTTTCTAGCAGAAAAATACGGTCAAAAATGGCCCAGCCATCTTCTCTGTTAGTTCCTTCGTTAATCCACACACACATGGGGTGAGCTGCGGAGCAGGAGCCAACGCCTTGAACCCTGCCTGGCCTGGGGACCATGGGGGGTGCGGGTGGCACTTCGAGGAAGGATGCCTGTGCCTGGCAGTTTGCTGACAAGTCCCTGGTGCTTTCCTTTGCAGAAGAGCCCATGGGTGGGGAATAAACACAGCTGTGAATATTTGCTTCTCCACCCAAAATGACAAAATCCTGTTCCAGGGCGTTGAGAGGGATGAAGCCATGCTTTCAGCAGAGCAACCACTGTCCTTCTGACTGGGAATGTGGCCATTTGTTTGCATGGAAGGCACATTTGCCCATCTTCTCCTGAATTTCTGCTGCTGAGAGCAGTGGTGCCGTGGGAAAGGCCAGGAAAAAGTCCAGAGCAGCTTCATGGGGTTCACTGAGACTGCCCTGGGTGTATCAGCATGGACGGGATACTGCCCATCACTGCTGCAGGTGGGCGAGGAGGGATTTCTAGTGACCCAGTAACCCGTATAACCTTGCTTGCAGCCTGCTTGCCCCAGGAAAGGGGATTTTTGTGTGCCTGCCATCCTGTTCATCTGTTCCCCTTAACAAGTCCTTGACACATTGCCCAGTTTGGGCCAAATCAGACGGACATTGAGACGTCTCAGTGATATTATTAAATTCTGACCATCCTGGTTGAAGCAGGATTTAGAGTAGCGCAGAACAAAACTGTGCTTTAGAGACTCCAGAGTGGACTCGACCCTAATCAAACAGAAGAGAATCTCCACAGAGCAAAACCACAACCCCCAGGCTGTAAACCTGCTTCCCAACCCAATCAATTTTATTTTTAAGGGTGTCCCTCCCCTGCTTCCCCATTGCAAGGAGATGGGGACTTTCCTAAGCCACTTCTTGAGCTGAAAGATAGCTGTAAAAGAGTGTCAGAGACAGAACAACCCGTGGCCACAACACGCTGTGAGTGGGAGGGGGCCCCTTGGGGTCATTTCCCTCACAGCATCCCGTGGGATGGAAAAACGCAGCTGGTTTTCTGCTAAATAAGCAAGATCCAGCAGAGGTCCAGCTCCTGCTGTTGACCATCGAGCAAACCAGGTGTGGAAGCACATGAGTGTGTGTGTACCCCTGGGTGCACGTAGGAGCCGGGGAGGGCACGCGAGGCGTCTCGCCCTGCTGGGACTTGACCCTGGGGCTCCCAGACGCAAAAGCAGCAGCCCCATGATTCAAGTTAGCACCCAATTTCCACGACTATGTCACTCTCTGTGTCCTCCTGCCATTGCTCCTGGAGGTGCTGGCATCAGGTCAATGCAACGTGAGCAGGGTGATGGCCAAGGGTCCCGGCATGGTCCCCAAGAAGCACCAAAGCTCTCCAGCAATCCTCTGAGGAGGGTAGGAGCACAGGAAGGCTGTAACATGCCAAGGAATAGAAACAAGACCTCACAGCACCAGGGCTGGGCTTTAGCCACTAACTCATGTTTGAGGGTTGTGATGAATTCAGCCACTGCTTTAGAGAATGGGGACCCCATCTCATCCCAGGGCTGTTTGGAAGCAAACACCTAATCCCTCCTCACTGCCACCGAGAGCAAACCTGCCTCTGGCCACACAGGGTGATTCTGCGGGTAAAACCAGGGTAAAAAAGGCAGTTTGACTGAGCAAGATGTGTTTGGAGATGTCTGCAGATACATGGCTGAAACACAGTGATTTAGTGTGCGAGGGGTCTACGGCAGTGTTGCTGCACGTTTGTCTCCTCTTTGGCACACACCGGCTGTGGCGGCTCGAAACAAAACTGACCGTGGCACAATGCTGGGCTGGAGAGACGCCAGGGGTGCCCAGCCCTTATGGGACCCCACGTCCTCCCCTCGCTCTTCCACGGGGTCCCTCTCCTTCCCATGGGGTTGCTGCCACCTCTCACCGCCCCACAGGTGAAGGGTTCGTCAGCGTGAGAAGGACTTCTGCATCCCAGCCCAGGAGGGACCTGTGCTGAATCTGCAAACACAGCGATTCCCAGGGAGTTACAGAATAAACCAGATGTGCCAGTGGAGATTTATGTGAGGTTTAGCGTCTCCATGAGAAACCAGGTTTCCTCTGTCTTCTCCAGGCTCCTACAAGTTTTTTTCTTTCTCATATAAATTTATCTTTTTTTTTTTCATTTGAAAAGAAAAACCTTTCTGAAGGGATAATGACTTTAAAATGATCTTATTTGCAATATTGCTATTTGAATACCACTGCTTGGAGAAAAAACAGCTGGAAAGCAAAGGAATTGACAGGCAAAGTAAAAAGAAATACATTCAAGGATAAAGAAATAAGGC